TCATTGGTGAAGGCGAGCGTTCGCGCCCCCTCTCCCAATTGTCCTCTCTTACCAGTTGAGCTAGTGGTGCTAGCCTCTCTGAGTTCTAACCTTGTTTTAATTGGTGAAGGTGAGTGCTCTCACCCCCTCTCCCAATTGTCCTCTTACCAGCTGAGCTAGTGGTGCTAGCCTCTCTGAGTTTTCACTTTGTTTTAATTGGTGAAGGCGAGTGTTCTCACCCCCTCTCCCAATTGTCTTCTTTTACCAGCTGAGCTAGTGGTGCTAGCCTCTCTGAGTTCAAACCTTGTTTTAATTGGTGAAGGCGAGTGTTCTCACCCCCTCTCCCAATTGTCCTCTTTTACCAGTTGAGCTAGTGGTGCTAGCCTCTCTGAGTTCTAACCTTGTTTTCATTGGTGAAGGCGAGCGTTCGCGCCCCCTCTCCCAATTGTCCTCTTTTACCAGTTGAGCTAGTGGTGCTAGCCTCTCTGAGTTCTAACCTTGTTTTAATTGGTGAAGGCGAGTGTTCTCACCCCCTCTCCCAATTGTCCTCTTACCAGCTGAGCTAGTGGTGCTAGCCTCTCTGAGTTTTGGCCTTGTTTTGATTGGTGAAGGCGAGCGTTCGCGCCCCCTCTCCCAATTGTCCTCTTTTACCAGCTGAGCTAGTGGTGCTAGCCCCTCTGAATATCTTGGGCATAGCTGGGTAAGGAGCATGGACGGCTCTCACTGCTGTACAGTCTGTGGAGCCATGCTCCAGATAGATGACGGTCACGACCTGTGTCCTGCCTGCCTTGGACATGACCATCTGGTGGATGCCCTGTCAGAGAACCCCTGCATGAATTGCAGCTTCATGTCGCATGCTGTGAGGGTGGCCCGGCTGGCCCAGTTTCGCCCCAAACTCGGCGATGACCTCCCGCCTTCTGGGCAGGAGGCTCCACCTAGGCGCTCGAAGCGCCGGACTGAGGCCGCAGTCTCTGTGGCCCCTCCTGGGAAGAAGCGAGCCAGGTCTGATAGGGGCCTCTCCACAAGGGTGGAGCAGCTATCCACTGAATTAGCGGAGATGAAGTCCCTTTTTCAGGTACACCAACTGGGAACTGAACCAGTGGCAGCAACTGGACTCTCCTCCCCACCCATGCCTGAACTGGCTGTGGAGGAGGATGTGCTATCCTTGGCTGCCTCTGCCTCTCACTTTTTAGGTGAGGAGGACGGGCATTCATCTCGAGTCTCAGAGACAGCTTCACTCTCTTCTTCTCGGAGTGCAGTTAGTGGGTCGGGTGACGGCTCGATGCAGGACATCATGCGTATGGCCCTGAGACAACTGCAGCTGGACGTCCCGCAACCAGAGGCGTCCACCCCTGGAAGTGCCTTCTTCAGGCGCGGACTGACCCCTCCTTCCTTTTCTGTCCCTCCATCAGAGGAGTTCCTGAGGGAGTTGCATGGTTGCTGGCGGGACCCCAAGGCCTTTGCGCGCCTCTCTGCAGATGGCAGAGTGTTGGCGGCCATGCATGAGCCGGCTGCAGCAGGCTTGGATCGCATGCCAGCGATAGAACCTGCTGTTGCCTCTCTCATCGTGTCACCAGATGAAGCTCTGCGCAGTCATGTTCGGTGCCCACGAGCTCAGTGTCGTGTCACGGATGAATTCATCTGCAGAGCCTATGCCGCCGGAGCGCGTGCTGGCCGTCTAGGTAATTCCTTGGCACACCTAATGCTTGCCCTCTCCGCGTCCCTTCAGGGGACTAGTGGTGCGACAGCAGCGATGGGCTTTAACGATGCAGCGCTTCAGGCCTTTGCACTAATGACGAGGGAGCTTGGGCGTGTGATGTCCTCCTTGGTCCAAGCTCGCCGACAGGTCTGGTTAGCGCAGTCAGCATTGACTGAGCCATGCCGTAGAGCCCTCCGTAATGTCCCAGTGGTGCCGGGGGAGTTGTTCGGTTCGGCTGCCTTGGAAGCACTGGAACGGACTGTCCAGGCACGACAGAGAAGGCAGCAATTTTCGAGCCTTAGCAGGCCAATGCCCCCTCCACCTCCTCGGCATCCAAGGCGCCTGTCGGCTGGCTCCAGCATGCAGCCGCCGCCTGGGGGTCATAACCGGCCGGGTGGTCCTTACCCTCATGCGGTTCAGCAAAGGCCCAGCAGGAGCTTTTGTGGGTTGGTCCACCGACCAGCTGGGCAGGCTCGGACCAGGGACTCTGGCTGCCGCCCCCCCCACGGCCCCTAGGGGTCGTGGAGGGAGACGGTGATGCCATCAGGCCGACCGTCGGATATTTCTCCCACCAGCAGCTCAGCTATTGGGTTGCTCACGCCGTGGACCCATGGGTGGTTGCCACTCTGACCCATGGTTACCGGCTACAGTTCAGACGGCGGCCTCGTATCTCAGGCCGGGTCAAGATGACTGTAATCGCCGACCCGGTGAAAGCTCAAGCACTAGACATCGCCGCTTTCTCAGGTTTGCCTATCGGGGTCACCACTGGCAGTTCCAGGTACTTCCATTCGGGCTCTCTCTCCCCAAGGGTGTTCACTCGGTGCGTGAAGGCAACCCTCTCTCCTCTGCAGGCCTGCGGAGTGAAGATTCTGCCGTACTTAGACGATTGGCTTCTCTGCGCCCCGTCTCAGGCCTGTGCCTTTCACGACACAAACCGCCTGCTCGCTCATATGTCCCAGTTGGGCCTCAATGTCAACCTGGAGAAGAGCTGCCTGATCCCTTCCCAGACGACCACCTTTCTTGGGGTGGTTCTGGATTCATCTTCAATGAGAGCTCGCCCATCCGCTCAAAGGGTGGCCGGCATACTCCAGCTGGTCAATCGGTTCAGGCTGGGCAAGCAGCTCCCCTATGTTGCCTTCCTGCAACTACTCGGCAAGCTGACATCAGTCACTCGGGTGGTGCCCTTAGGCCTGCTGTCACTTCACCCCTTGCAGAGGTGGCTCAACAGCTTTCGCCTGGATGCCAGGCTGCACAGGCATCGCAAGCTTGCAGTGACGTGGTCATGTCTTCATGCCTTGACTCCATGGAGGGACGAAGATTATTTGTCCAGGGGTGTCCCCATGGGAGTGGTAGTGTGTCGCAGGGAAGTGGTCACGACGGATGCCAGCTCCATGGGATGGGGGGCTGTATGGCAACGCAGAGCGGTTCAGGGCCGCTGGGGTCAAAGAGACCATTCCAAGCATATAAATGTGCTGGAGCTGCGTGCAGTGCACTTGGCACTCAGGCACTTCCTGCCTCACCTGGAAGGGAAGCATGTACTTGTTCGGTCAGACAACACCTTTGTTGTCTACCACATCAACCATCAGGGGGGCACCAGGTCAGCACAACTTCTGAGTGTGTCCAGAGAGCTCCTGGAATGGGCCTCTCCTCGCCTGTCCACCCTGCGGGCAGCGTACTTGCCAGGGCGACACAATCAGGTCGCAGATTTTCTCTTCCGCCAAGAGTCCCCTCCGGGAGAGTGGTCCCTCCACAGAGACATAGTGCTGATGATCTGGGACCGTTTTGGTCAGGCAGAGATAGACCTGTTTGCGACGGAAGAGTCGACTCAGTGTCCCCTATGGTACTCTCTTACGGGGGCGTCGGGTGCGCTAGGCCAGGACGCATTGGCTCATCCTTGGCCAAGGGTCCTTCTATATGCCTTTCCACCCCTTTCTCTAATTTGGCCAACCCTTCAGAGAGTCCTCGAGGAGGGCCACAGGATGCTGCTGGTGGCTCCGTATTGGCCAGCGCGACCATGGTTCCCACTGCTACGAAGTCTATGTCAGGGCGTCCCATGGTGTCTTCCGACCAGAAGGGACTTGCTGTCTCAGTTGGGGGGACTGATATGGCACCCCAATCCTCAACGTCTTCGGCTGTGGGTGTGGCCACTGCAAGGCTAGGACAGCAGCTGACTGGAGTTTCGAGCCCCGTCAGACGCACCATCCTGGGTGCCAGGGCACCCTCTACTCGTCAGCAGTACGAAAACAGGTGGCGCCTGTTTTCCCAATGGTGTTCGGATCACAACAAGGATCCAGTCTCCTGTACAATACCCACCATTCTGGAGTTTCTCCAGTCTCTACTTGGTAAGGGTCGCTGTCCTTCGACGCTTAAAGTTTATGTAGCGGCAATATCATCTAATCACGCTGGCATTGATGGCTGTACGGTAGGGAGCCATAATCTAGTCTCTCTTTTTCTGCGTGGTGCCCGTAGGTCACACCCGCCGACAGCTCCACGAGCACCAGGTTGGGACCTTCCCTTGGTTCTCGAAGCTCTGTGCCGTCCTCCTTTCGAGCCTCTGTCGCAGGCGGACCTCAAGTGGCTTTCATGTAAGACGGCTTTTTTGTTGGCTATTACCTCAGCAAAGAGGGTCAGCGAGCTACATGCTCTCTCAATCAGCCCCTCATGTCTCAGGTGGGGCCCTGAGGGCTCGTGTGTTACCTTGTGGCCAAACATTGCATTCGTACCAAAGGTGTTATCTCACTCTCACTCTAACCAACCATTGAGGCTGGCACGTTTTCAGCCTGCGCCTGGTGAGGGGTCTGCATTATTGTACCCGGTAAGGGCACTGGAGGTATATGTTGTAGCTACTGCCGTGATAAGACATTCAGACCAGCTGTTTGTGTGTTATGGAGGCCCTAGGTTAGGCTGTCCTCTTTCCAAACAGCGCCTCTCCCACTGGATCGTGGACGTCATCTGCAACGCCTATGCTGCAGGGCCCGGCTCCCTGCCGGTCGGCTTGAAGGCTCACTCTACCAGGAGCGTCTCCGCTTCCTGGGCTGCCCTGAGAGGGGTTCCGCTGGAAGCAATATGTGCTGCTGCATCATGGGCTTCCCCAAGCACGTTCACCAGATTTTATAGAGTTAACGTAGCCACCCCTCATCCCCTGGGCCAGGTTCTTCTACAAGGGTCCTCTGGGCCTCCTCAGTGAGGTAGGTGTTAGGATTCCTTGTGACATCGTTGATATTAGTCATTCAGTGCTTTCAGCACCGCCCTCTGGCGGTCAGGAGGGATGAAATAGAACGAAAGTTACGTATGTAACTACGGTTCTATGAATCCCGGATGACCGCCAGAGCTTCTCCGTCACTCAGAATCCTTGCGTTTCGCGAGAAGATTCTGTAGGAGCAGAGCAGCGGATGACGTCGGGCTATATAGCCTCTGATTGGTCATCCGTGTCACACCTGTGACTCCGTTGGTATTATTACTCGAATCAGCGCATGCGCGAAGGGAACATTCAGTGCTTTCAGCACCGCCCTCTGGCGGTCATCCGGGATTCATAGAACCGTAGTTACATACGTAACTTTCGTTTTCATTAGTTGTCAGTTATAATCATCAACATTAAAAAAAATAAATATTTGAAGTATATCAGTCTGTGTGTAATGAATGAATATAATATACAAGTTTCACTTTTTGAATGGAATTACTGAAATAAATAAACTTTTTCATGATATTCTAATTTTATGACCAGCACCTGTATATATATTTGGCATTGAGTATTTTGCTTACTTTTCTCTGAAAGTGTCTTTCTCCTGCTCGCTCCACATGTTCATAACTTGCCGATCCTTATAAACCTTCATGGGGTCATCCATTAGTCCATTCATGTTGATAAACTTGATGCGTTGCTGCTCAGCGTCAAACAGCATGGGAGGGATGACTGCCAGCTGCCGCATCTGCTTCTCCGTGTTCTGATGAACGCATGTGCCAGAAAATGTAAGAAAATGAAACCAAAAACATGGCATTAAGGAACAATCTCCAAACCCCATGAAATTTGTCAAAGAAACTGTTTAAAGTTGTAAATGATTTTTTAAGCCAACTACATTTTGAAAAAGGAAAGAAGTTTTGTTGTAGAACAAGGTGGCTATATTTTGACTATATTTTTAATCATGACATAATATAGGTGTTCATACTGATATCTGATGCTTTTTATTTCTCCTGTACTTTTGCATATTTCGACATTAAAATGATGCAGAGATATTCACGATTTTTTTTATTCACTGCGTTTTCTCTACAATACATAGGTTCAGACAGATGGCCTATCATTCTTGTCATTTACATATTTGTTGTTTGGGCTCTGAACTTCGTTGATCACAAACTAACAACCGTAAGTAAGTTTGTTTCAGCGAGCGAACTCGAATGAAATATTTGGCATTTGTTTTAAGCTGGATGCCACTCCTGACGCAGCCTGGGCTCAAACCTGCAGCCTCAGGATTACCAGACCATGGCACGGACAACTGAGCTACTGCAGCCCCCAAAACTACCACCAGTAAACAAATTAAATAAAAATACAATAATCTGATAAGCTTTTAAATAAAATCACTTCTGACATATCCTGTGTGGAATTTAGTTAAAACTCAACAATTGGTATAATTAGTACACAATTAACTGTATATCCTAAATTGAGCTTGAAATGGGATTAATGCATTTTAATTCAAATCATCCAGCATTACTTTGTTGCTTAAGTATGTTTTGAAATGCTTCTTGTCAACTTCAAAAAGCAGAACTAAATGCTGATCCACAACAATTGACTCATCTAAATAAACCCCATGCAGAAAAATAAACTGTCATTAGCTAGCTTAAAATGTCTATACTGAGGAAGCGGTAAAGAAGCATTGTCATAAAGATGATTTAATACATTTCATAAAATGACCAAACATTCTGATTGATCACAATGTGGGAAAACTTAGTTATAAATTATTTTAATCAAGCGTCAATCTGAAATTAAGAAATGGCTCAATATTGTTTTATAATTTTGTAGACGATTTATGAGATGATAGTGATTCGCGCATTATATTAGTGCAGCCGGGTATAGTGAGATCGTGAGGTGGTACTAAATGCAAGATGTGCTGCTACAATCTCCGCACCCCGTCCAGAAGTAGCAGGAGTTATCTCTCTCGGGGGGACTTTGTAGGTGGGGTGCTCATTTTGTTGACAGGGTGGGGTGTGCCCTCCTTCGATAATGGTAAGGGAAACACTGCTCATTCACACCAGGAGCATTGAATATTAATTTATATATGATAAAACATATTTTTATCCCCATCTGCAAGACGGGATTTAAAATTTGGATAAAATGCCAACTTTGGCATGCATACCTGATTACAAAATAACATCCAAGTTCCTGTTTTGCATATGAACTTTAAAGACCATACAGTGTTGCCAAAGACCATATATATAGAGAGGATCTATCATCAGGAACACAAGAGCTTAGATTTGTTGATATTCTTTTAGTAATTCTGAGGATTCATCCAAAATGTCACCAAGGAGTAAATGGAGGGGCAAAGCAAATTGAACAGAAAGTGCTTACCTCATGCTCGGATAACCCATCAATGATTTCAGAGACTTCATGTTCACTGCGGGCTGCAGATGAGGTCAGTCCTCCACCTCGCTGCCCAACACGACTGCAAAAGTAAAAAGGTACAGAGACTTTGTTTTTCTGAACTTCACATATAACAATGAGCTGCATGCATTGCAAAATAACTGTTCAACAGACAAGGCAACAAATAGAATAATCAAGTTGACTTGATAACAACACTGCCTCACCTCTGCATTCGCTCCTGAAGCTCTCTTTGCTTGCGGATTTCTGGGAACTGTTTTTCGTAGTACTCCCGCACCTTGCTCTCTTTAGCTCGGCGCCGCGGGTTGTTTTCGATGCGCTCCACTTTCTTTTCCCAGGCCTCCATTAGCTGGTCATAGCGCTGGCAAAACTTCTGCTCCTGAAGGTTTACAGAAAGAAAGAATCCAGTCTACTGCAGAGTCACACACGCACAAAAAAAAAAAACAGCATTATCTCTTTCTGATTTGTTTTTGACCTGAAGCTGCATATCTAACGGAACATTAATTCTGGAGAAACACAATTACTGATCATCGCTTGATCAGAGGGGGTAAAGTAACATGCTAGTCACTCCATGGAGAGCAAAGCCTTGGACCACAGGCCTGGAAGATGGCAGCCCACTGTTTTTCTACTTCCTCACAGGCGGCCTTGTAAAGCAACCCATTAATCTCTGTGGAGACATGACCCTCAGTGGGCTCATAAACCACAAGGAGATGTCTCCCCAAATTAAGCTACCTCCTCTACTAAGACACTAAATGAGTGAAGAGTAGGCACTAACCCCAGACCCACACACTTGGATGCAAATGTTACACTGGAGAATTTCTTCCTGACATTAAAAAAAAAGTGGTGTAGTTGCCCACAACAATGATTTAAAGTTTAGAGGTAGTTTGATTCGATTCTGTTTTATATTTCATGAAAATTTCACAAAAAAGCTCTTGGCTTAATCTGCAATATAGATTTTCAATAACTTCATTATTTTCAAGTCATGCTTTTTGTCTCAGTGTTAGTCACCATCAGACCAGAGCTTGCAAAATACAAAATATTATTCTTTCACATGACAGGATGAGAAATCTTTTCTATTTGTTTTTCAACAGCTATTACTTCCCCCAAGGCACCGTGCAAGTACTGACAACAGATCATGCCTCAAGTATTTTTTCCCCCGTTGACATGTCTAAAATGGCCACTCACTTCAAGGAGCAACTGGCCCAGTTTCAAACAAGCCATTTGTCATGGGTTAAGTCCCAGCGGAGAGTCACAAATGTAGTTTTCTACTTACCCACTGCTTACGAGCATGATTTCTTCTTTTGAAGTACAAGATGAGCTTCTTCCTCATGGCTTGGTTTCTGCAGAAAGAAAAGAGTGGTATGAACAGATCAGACGGATGAATAAGCAAGAATATTTAGAAAAACTATTTCAGACAGCTAAGCTTTTATAGCATTTCACACAAACTACAGTAGTCCCTCGCTGCTTCGCGGTTCGTTTATAGTGGACTCGCTCTATCGCGGTTTTTCAAAATAAGATTGGACACACAATTGGCTGATTGATGGATGAGCTGCACGATCGACATGGAATTTTTATTTAAAATAAATTATTTTAAATTATTTAGCACCTGCTGCACCTTTGTGCAGCCCATAGAGCAGGATAAGCTTCCTGCTGCAACTAATCAACTGAGCTCTGTGCAGAGAGGTGATGTGGGCGTGGCCAAGAGCACTTGCTGGTGGCAAAGAGCAGACGAGAAAGGGAGCTGAAATTATGACATTCTGTGCTCTTTTAGAGCGTTTAGAGTTTAGAAACATTGTTTTTATATATATATATATATATATATATATATATATATATATATATATATATATATATATATATATATATAATAAACTACTTGTACGACCATTCCTACTTTGCGGTTTTTCACTTATCACAGGTCTTCAGGGTACGGATCCCCATGATAAATGAGGGACTACTGTATATCCAACTATATGATGTTCTCCAGGTCCTAAAGCACTTGCTCCCCTACCCTTAACACATTTTTCACTTCTTTACCTTATAAATACAAAAAAAACAAGCTCACTCTACATTCTCACATAAACACAAACAATACGGGTTATTAAGTGCAGCTGCACGAAAAACCCAATCTCTCTCTTCAAGGTGGAACGTAGAGCCAAACTTATAAAACTTGTCCATGCTGAGAACAGCCAGACACACATCTTCAAATAAAGGTCAGGGTCAGTAATCTCCTTAGGCAGCCACTTGGTTTGTCGCTTTCTTTGCTGCGAGACAGAGTTTTATTCCTGACACTTAATCTGTCAGTTGTAAGGTCATGTTCGCCACTGATTAATGTAATCTTACTCTACATCAGACACCTCAGCTGAGCGGCAGGTTTATTCTGGACATAGGCAAGGACAGAAGACTAAGATGGTGGCTTTTTTATTGAGGATGATACTGATGAGACAAATAGAAAGAGACAGACCTGTCCAACCTATAAACAATAAAATACAGATTTAAGAAAAAGTAAAGTTACTAAATTAATCTAAATAGACTCCGTGTTCAAATATCAAGCTATGACGGTGAGAACAGACTTGCTAAGGTAAAAACAGGCCTGACAGAGCAAAGCTCTTTAAAGACAGAGATGTTATTGTCCTCTGCACACCAGATGGCAAAAGCCAAGATTAGTGGTCCTGAAACCTAACAAAAGGTTTTCTTTGTCCTGCTCTAAGCCGGAGCCATTTCTGAGATATTGGAGAACACTGTAATTTGGCATAATTCTTCTAAAACATGATGGCTGAATGATTCATTATATGCATACTCGTGACAGATGTTCAGCTGTGGCACTACTTCAATGAGCAAAAGCTCCAGCTCCAAAGCCTGAATTTTTGCGCTCATCGTATCTATATAAGCCAGGGACATTTATAATGAGCTATCTGTCTGTCTCTGTGTGTGTGCGTGTAAGAGATAAACTGGAATAAAGGCCCAAAGATTCACAGAGATACTGGAAGTCATCTGCGCCGGCAGGGATGAATGCCAAAGTTACCAAACCAGTTAAGAAAACAAAGAAGTTAATTGTGCTAGGTCAAACTGACACACTGGCTTTTAATAACAACACACACGCACAAAGAGGAGGGAGAGGAGCTTTCAGTTAATTGCTCTGAGGCAATATTACCGATCAAACGATGCAGGGATCAAAGAAAGTGAAGACAGTAGCAACGTGAGGCTAATGGGTCAGGAACATCTTGTGGTATGCCACTGTGCCCAGCGACGGTGCCAACGCTATTATAACCCTTCCACGGCCTGTTCATGTGTCTCATAAGCTTTACTGATAGACACTGCAGTCTAGCTGTCAATCTTCTGATTTACTTACTGCAGATTTCCAGTAGTGTAAAGTGGACATGGACTGAAACCTTAATCTTGTTAATAAAATACGATGTTAAAAGCAGACATTTTATTTGAAATAAGGTACAATTTGAGTCAATGTTGCAGAGTTATGAAAATAATATTGTCAAGATGTTCAACAGCTAAATGGCTTAAAAAAAGAAAATTCAATGTATATGTAATATTGTCCACCTTAATTTCTTTAGGGGATTTTAAACATTTGATAAGGTTAATAGAAACATCAATGCAAATATGTTCTTGTTTTTAGTATTTTACCTTGTTTTATGGCACCTTGATTTTTTGTTTTATAACTCTTTTATTTTAATTGCATTTTTACTGTAGTTTATTGTCTGTACTTTATCTGTGGTTTTGTCTAAAACAGGTCTCTCTTGAAAATGAGTTCTCGTGACTCAATGAGACTAACCTGTATAAATAAAGGTTGAATGAAAAATATAGTGGTTTGGATCTTCATACCTTCACTGTAAAATTCCTTTGCGTTATTTACACCGGGGGGAATGTTATGTTTACAGAAGAAGGTCACACCAATCTAAGCAAACCATTTATTAAATAAATCACAGTCAGCGCAGAAAAAGCTGCTGGCATTAATTGCCCAAACTGAAAATTGACTGTTGGAGTTTTTATTTATTGACTATACCCATTTTTTCGATCCAGTAGCTTCCTCCAAACAACAATCACAGGAATTGTCCGTTTCTCTTTAAAGATTTTTGTACAGTTCTTTTTACCAAGTCTTCAGCAAAGATGCATCCTTTGCACGGTTTTAAAGCAACATCAAGGTATCAAGTATAAACAAATGCACTTCAAATGCACATGATAGATGCTGTTAAAATCATGTTTGCACTGCAGCTTTATCAAGACTGCTCATCACTGCATGCATTTCTGCTAAATATTGTGTATTAGTAAGTTAAGTGGTAACAGTATTTATACTTTTAATAACAGTAGGTTTACCAAATTGCATTATATATGAAGTCTTGATCCTGAAAAATCAGTATAAATAATGTAATGAACTGGTAGTACTATTTTGAAACCTAAATAAATTCTAAGGTTAAAAAAAATTTGTGTTTGCAACCTTAAATTACACTTTCAAGCTAATCAAATCAAGAGATGTGGTAGTGATTAGACTGAGAACGTAGAAGTGACTGAGTCCAGACACCATTCTTTGGAATGGAAACAGACGTAGCCTAACACGTAACAAATGATTTGCACTCGTTTGCAATTTATTTTTACTTTATTTGTTTTATCTATTCATTCACACAGAAAAGTTTGCAGAGTTTACTCACCCACTCCAACATCTACTCACTAAACATAATTTACAACGCTGCTGACATGTGGAGCTATAGGCGCTTGACATATTAAAAGGGAAATGAGACTCACTGTTGTGATAGCGAATGATTACAAAGGCTTAAGCAGCCACACTTTCTGTGTGTATATATCATTTGCATAATTGGTGTTTCAGTCATTCCACAATGAACAATCCTGCAGGAAAGTGTGCAACCTCACTAAAGGATGATAAATGTCTTTGCTTAAGTCTGCATGCACCTGATGATAAAGAGTAAGACAGCATTGAGCTCCTAAATGTTTTTTGTAGAAATGCTCTTCTGCGTCCTTCATAATATCAGATTTCTTGAAAGCCAACGAACCCCAAGCTAAACTAGCTAAAGAAATGACAACTCAAAGTGCATGTAGTGTCAGACTTACATTTTGATGTTCTCGTGGTACTGCTTGGTATCAGAAGGCTGGTTGTACAGAGGCTGGAACAGCAGAGAAAACAAGAAGCTCAAACATTCAACCACAACTCTATTGTACAGCAGATTGTAAAATCAAACAAGAAGAACATAAAATAGATTAAAATAAACTACATTAAAACCACTAGACTTGCATTCTGTAGCCGAAACAGCTAGTTTCTTCTAAACAATAGAAGTCTGGTTGTTTTGTTTCTTAATTTATTTAAGGAGAATTGGAATAAATGGCATTACTGAAAATCTATAGAGGGTTTTTTAACAACAAGGTTTATTGGATTTGTGAAATGGTCAATATATACAAAATGTTTTTACACTATTTAACAGAATCAATAAGAAGAATTTAATTCTATCTGAAGTAAGTCACTAAAAATGAACAACAAACGTGAAAAACAAAGTGATTAAATTCACTGATAGATGCTCAAAAATTGAAAGATGAAACAGCAGCAGACATTTTCAAGACAGTATTACTAAATAAATCAAAGCCTCCACTCACCAGCTCTACCCTGGGTCCCAGTCCCTCCAGTATCCTGTGAGCTTCTTCTGCCTTTTTCTGGTGAAAAAAAGACAAACAGAAGAAGTACATTGGCTGTCTGCCTGCACCTCAGCCATCACCACGGCAACGCCGTGAACATGCTCACTTGATCACCAGGGCTACACCACAGCTTTGCTGGATAGGTAGATGGCTGGATGCATGGATGGATGAATGAAAGGATGGATGTACTGACTAGTATTAGATCTTTGAACTCAAGCTGGGCCATAACTCCTTGCCTCAGCTTCCTCTGCCCTCTTCCCAGAAAAAAAAAAAAAAAAGATTACTCACCTCCCCTTAGCAGAAAGAGGTTAGAGAGAAAGAGCAGGCATGCAGGAAAGCAAGTGGGAGTACAGCCAGAAGCAGGAGAGAAAGAGTGAATAAAAACAGTAGGTGGCTGAAATGGAAGAGGTATAAAGCAGGAATAGAGAAGATTGAGCAGTAAGCCCTATCTGTGTCTGTGGAGGACATGCGCTGAGATTTAACTCCACCAAACAAACTTGCAAGAAGCTTCCCAGCCTACTCTGAATATTATCAAAGTGTTCCTTTCTTCACTCCCCATTTCATGTATCAAACAGATCCTGCTTGGTGACACGCCACGTGCACTGGTAATTCCCTTTTTAGTACATATTCCCTCAGTACTTGGTGGAAACCAGCCCTGACTTATAAACTCGGTGTATGCAGTGAATTTGTAAAGGCGATAACAGAGAAACGTCTGAGCACATTTGTGTCAGCCTCTCTTACTCCTCTCCCATTGTGTCATCAATACTCACAGCAAAAAAGAAATGGACCGACTGCTTTTTATTGTCCTAAAGTTTATATAACTGATTTTAAACCTACAAATAGCTGCTGTGTGGAGTTTAATTTACTACTTTACAACCACTAAGGAAAGTAAAAAAAAAAAAAAAAAATTAAAGTGCCATGTGCATTTTTACCTAAAACTAAAGAGAAAAGAAGGAATGATACTTTACATTTGCTCAACATGCATGAATGCAAATATAGCTCCATGTTGCTTCCTCATCAGTGAGTAGGTGTAACAGGCTGCAGAGTATTGCCTCAGAGAGCGCTCTCACTACAGAGACACTTAATGAGCAGCAATTATTAAAAGCAGACTTTCATCCTCTGAGAGCCGGAAGCCTCAGGGACCCCCCTTCATTTCCTAGTTGTGATACTTTGAAAGCTAATTTGAAAAAAACATTTTAAAAAACAAATCAATACAAATGCCTAATACTGATTTCAAAACTCTGGCGATACGTCTTTACTAGAAACAATCAAAATGACAAATTCAGATATAAAGAGGCGATGACACATGAGGGTATCTTTACATAAAAGTGATTAATAAAGTGTTGATGGTTTGATAAGCATCAACCACTATAATATCGAGAGGAGGTGCTGACTCGGATATTTCAATCATGCACCCCCTGTGGTTGCAAACAAATTGACTACTGTGGCACCACAAAACCAGTTTAAATAATGACAACACATACCAAACTTGTGAAAATGGCCCTGCAGTTGTCTTGGACACATCAATCACAAAATTAGCATTAGACTATATAAAGTAAACAGGTAAAATAAACAGAGGCCAATTGGAATAAACAAAATGCAGGGCCATTTTACACATGTTCTGTAAAAAGTTGTTTCTTCTAGTGTTTACGTCTGAGACAACTATATTCCAAGTATGAGAGGATTGGACATGAGCCAAGCCGTCTCTAGGGTTTGACGATGTTTGTCTCTATAAATGTGGCTGCAGCCTTGTCTGAAGGAGCCGGTGACTCTGAGCCCACAGGGGACAGATGACAGTGTAGACATCAGCTCAAAATGGAGGGCTGAGGCCGAAGTAATTATAGCCACGTACTTAAACACATACACAACATACAAATAGAGAAACAAGAGAAATTCTAGACAGTAGTGTACATCAAATTACTTGGGTCAACAATAAAAATCCATAAAGGTCATAATCACAACGTTAAAACACTTTTTTTAAACGAGTGATTACGTAAACAGGAGTGTGAGACGAAAAGGGAAGTGGCTTGAGAGGCAGCGAGAGCGAGGTTGGATAGCTGTGGGCCAGAGTGTTTCAAGTCAGAGAAATGTGGTACAGAGGTTAGACTACTGACTTGTGAGTCACTCTTTAACTTGTACCATCAGCAGCGTCCTGCTGTTCTACAGAGGAGCTGTGATTAAGCTGTGTACGACAGGGAGTCATGCGTACCTGTGTAAACAGGTTTTTGAGTATTCGTGTTAGAGTGAATGTCATGATTCCTTAAATTCTTGGAGAGTTGGCTTTTTAGTCATTGAAACTTGATCACTGTGGAACTGCCTTGATATCACCATAAAAATTCTAAAGCAATGTATACGTTTAAAAAGATGATTAAGTTAAAATTGTTGGGAAAGTATGGTGCCATGTAAAGGATGCCTGACATTCTTTGTTTTCACTTTGGAGATTGTCATTTCAGATTGGAGATAGTTATTCTATTTTTATTTTTAAAGGGGCAGACATTGTAATAATGTTCTTCTTCTTTCTGCACCCTTTTCATTCAATGTTTTTTTTTCTTTTAAATGAATGAATAAATGAATCATAGTGAACGTGTGTTTGTCACTGTTCAGGTTGTACTCTGGGTTTCTTCTTCTGTGTACAGTAAAGTTTTAATGTCACTTGAAGTTTTACTTAAAATGATTAAAAGCTCCATGGAGTCTGAATACGAGATATGAAACAATCAAGGGGTTTTCCAAGTGTTAAATGTCAATTCTATAAAAATAAAAGCTGTGCTTCTAACCACTAGGGGGGCTAAGAGCACTGAGAATCACACCTATGTGCCCTAATGGAGTTTTTTCTGCACACTTCTTAAAAGTCACTGTTAATGAAGCAGAAGCAGGACAAACACTTTATAAGTGCTTTATGTAACCTCTGAGTTGTTCTGTTAATCTTTTTATAGTAGGAGCATCAATGCAATATTTGTTGAAAAGATGAGAATTATTCAGCATATAGGCGAGTCCCCTTCTTGTGGTCACATTTTTGAGAGCATACATGTACGATTCATCGTGCCTGCTATGAAGACCTTTGGTAAAAAGGGCTTTCAGGCAAAACTTAAAAATAAAAGCCCTATCTGTTTATCTATTTGCAGTATAGTGAAATAATTTGAAAGTGTGACAGTGAATATATTGCACAATTGATGAAGTGAAACCAGATTTCATGTCAGGGTATTTGGGTGAAAGGGCTGTGACACAGATCGAGCATGCCTGTTGCCGTATGCGTCTTCCACTGACCCGGTTTTCATCGTAGATGATCTGCACCAGGCTGCGATGTTTGGCCTCACTGGGTGGTGGTGAAATTGGCCTCTCAGGCTCATGGGGCTTTGCAGCTTCCTCTTCCAGTTGTTGCTGTAATGCACAAAGACAAAAATTAAAACTTCATTAGTGACTAGACTAGGGACAAAAGACAACTGGTGACCTTAAATTAAAATTAAAATAAATTTTGCTTTGTTGTATTAGCTGTAAGTGGTAGAGAGAAGCAGACAGGCCGCTGAGGGCAAGTGTCAGAGGGTCAGTGCAGAGAGCTGATATGTATAGAAGTCAGCCCTCCTGCTCGACTCCTGACAGGGTTCAGAAAGAAGAAAAAGTGGCCTCAAGAGGACTCACAAAAGCGCAGAGCCGGATGGATTATCTCGTGCCTAGATAGCCCAGGATAAACATATGGTCAGGCAAACACAGACATTCCCATGCTGGACCCTCCCCCCATCCCTTTTAAAACCCACCACCTCAGAGTAAAATAAAATTAACCAGCCACCATGAACTTGGATGACATACTGGTTGTAACTTAAACTCCAAGTCCTGCCCTTTCACTTGCTCTTCCAGAACTCTTTAAAAATGTTTTATCATAGCATTTAATTAGTCCAGATGTTTTATTGCTTCACTAGAGCCAGACTGTAAAAATATCTATAAAAATATAGTGTATATTGAAGAAGGCTGAAAAAGGGATCTTGATTTATTTCTAAAAGCAGCAACGTTTTATGTTAATGACTGGTAAAGTTGGAACACAATCAGTTTTAAACCAAATCTTCACTTAAAAAAAGAAAACTGGTTTCTTGATTTCAAGTGTTTTTACACTGATGCCAGCTTGCTTTGTGAATGAAAGGGTTTTTTGTGTTTTTTACTGGCTTAAACCTGGATTTCTGGAAACAATAAATTCTTCAGCGCATATTTAAAGGGCTGATCTTGACCTAATGTACCCATTTATTAAACGGAACTACCGGTACTATTCTGCATAAGTGTAAGCACTTTGTGTGCACTGTGGACAAAGCAAGGATGTTAGGATAACTTTAACGTGTGGATTCTGTGAATAAGCTTTGTACACAAAGTAGCATAACTTACAGTTTTCTTAAAGTCTAAGGTATGTTCTAAACAAAATTTTACTTAACTGTGCTCACAAAGTATATGTGATGAACAGTGGGTATACAGTATTCCCTCTTTTATCACAGGGGATCAGTACCCTGAAGCCCCGCGATATGTGAAAAACTGTGAAGTAGGAATAGTAGTACAAGTAGTAAGTAGTAGTTTATTTTATTATTTATATAGATATATATTCAAGTGTTTTAAACACTTCCCACACTCTTGCAATATTCTAAACAATGTTTCTAAACTCTAAACGCTCTAAGAGCACAGGATGTCAGGATTTCAGCTCCCTGCCTCCTCTGCTCTTTGCCACCTGCAAGCGCTCTTGGCCACGCCCACTTCTCCACTCTGCAGGAGAACAGCTGATCAACTGCAGCAGGAAGTTTATCCTGCAGCAGGAAGTTTATCCTGCAGCAGGAAGGGCTGCACAAAGATGCAGGAGGTGCTAAATAATTTAAAATAATTGATTTTAAATAAAAAAAATTCCATGCCGATCTTGCGGCCCATCCATCAATAAGCCAATTGTGTGTCATGTGACATGTCCAATCTTATTTTGAAAAACCACGATAGAGCGAGTTCGCAATAAACGAACTGCAAAGTAGCGAGGGGCTACTGTAATATAATTCCATCTTTGTACAAAACATCAGCATAAAAAAAGATATTCACAGCCAGTTTTTTTGATGCCTCAAATTGTGCCTTGTCTAGGACAAGATGTGAGAGATCTTTTTTTAATACAGACTCTCCTCGTGTTTTTCTTCCCTTTTCTCATCTAAGCAAAAATATTATTCTGAACAAGAATAAGAGGGCTGCGCTTTTACAGTAGCAGCTTTGTTAGCAGCTTCGTGCACTCTGCCCATCTTTCGGACGACTGTACGTACATGTTCTCGTTGTATCTCGGTGCAATGATAATAAAGCTTATTCTGATTCAGAGTGTGCACAGTTCTCACAGCCTTAAATTTGTGATCAAAATCCTTGTTTAACTTTAATCAGACCTTTACATGCAGGGCTTCTTTGTGACCATTTTATTTTGTGAAGACAGATATATTTTTAATATTTAATGTATAAAGTTTGTCTTGCAAAGATTGTTGTTACCGCCTGCCTTTAATTTGTGGTGATATTCATTTATTATACTTCCAATCCCACAGCTAACCGTGGAACTAACAAGAGGCGCCACACAAAACAACGCAGGCACATAACTTTGACGAGATCATCTTTAATTGTTAAGTATCAGAACAGCAAACATCTTGTTTTTTAGTGCTTTCAACAATAATAAAAGCACCAGTCACTGGAGCTGCAGCTCACAGCCACTCTGCAGACAGTTGCCTGAGAGCACGATGCAGTTACTTATCTGAATTATGCGGCTCCTTGCTCAGCTTTGTTTTGTCTATTCTCCCCACAGCTTGTGCAACGTTTTCCCCAGGGTTTGCTTTTTTCCTCATTTCTCTTCTTCTTTAAGTGCACACAAATTAGTTGTAAAGTCCCATCTTGCAGGTTTTCAGGATGGCTCCTTTTAATAATCTACTTAGAACATAAAAGCTGTCTTGACTTCAAATGTCTTAGACCGTAAGGGGTGTTCTGTACATTTAAAGAATTATCAACCATTGCTTTGATGGTAGTTGGCTCATATGTCTAAAAATGGCACCTTACAAACACATCAAGGATTAGACATAGATTTTTAAAAGAGGAAATTTAAATATTACAGAGATTCATCTATATCTGAACTTTCAACTTTTGATGTATTTGATGTTTTGATAAACAGTGTAATAGGCAGTAAATTGATGAGCAAGTATTTTGCATCGATAACAGCAACCTTGTCCACACAATTCCTTCACTAAACATGGTATGCAGTCAGCTGTGGCCGAGCTGGCAGGGAGACGGCTGGTTTTGCAGTAACAATCCTCCACCATAATTCTGCTCCCTTGGGGAAGCTGTTATTTATAGCCTCATATATTTTTAACTGACTTTTCTACTAAAAAAAAAGGCTGATGTCTGGAGGGAAAAAAAGGATGCAGAACCCCGAAAGAGAAAATGCACATCATCGCTGGACACTGAACAGCAAATAGCTACAAACATGAATGCAGAGATTTTAAGGAAGCAACAGTCTATTTAAGGTGTTCTTTGATCTGATGCCAACTTATGCCTGCCAGGGAAAGCCACACTGAATAAACAACATAATTAAGAAAAAAATAAATAAATAAATCCACACTGTTCCAGACTTTCCCAACAGAGAACTTCACTCTCAGACTGCAAGTTTACTTGTGGTTCCTAGAGTTTCCAAAAGCAGAATGGGGATGGCAGAATGGTTTTCAGGCTCCTCTCTTGTGGAACCAACTTCCAGTTTCTGTCTGTGAGGCTGATGCATTGTCCAGTTTTAAGATTAGGCTCAAGTCTTGCCTTTTTGATCAATCCTATAGTTAGGTAAGCTTGGGTTTCCTGAGTTATTCTTTAGTTATGCTGTTATAAGCTTAGACTGCTGGAGGACAAATGGACAACATTTCCTCACTCTGCTGCTGTCTTTACTTCGACCTGTTTGTATTTGTCATTGTTTACATCCTTAACCTGTGGATTATTTGTCTTTCTTCCTATAGAAAATACACCTGGACCTGCCATTCTGTGTTTGTTTGTCTCTCCTTCCTGTCCTCTCAACCAGCTGGTCAAAGCAGATGGTCACTTGTCCTGAGCCTGGTTCTGCTGGAGGTTTCTTCCTGTTAAAAGGGAGTTTTTCCTTTCCACTGTTGCCTTTGTGCTTGCTCAGGATGGGAGACTGTGGCAAAGTGACGACTGAACAGTCTGCTAGTTTCCTTAGATAACTTTTACTAATTGGCTTTTGTTTAAATGTATGTGGATGTTTTTGCACAGTGCCCTGAGACAACTTGACTTGGCGATATATAAATAAACTGAACTGGATTGAATTGAAACAAACAAATAAGCAAATAAACACACACAAAAAAAAACAACACTCTACAAAGATCCCTATACAGACATCACCAAACATGAACATAATCATATTCCTTTCCTAAACCTGGTCAAAGTGTGTGTAAAACGCACATAAGGGACAATTTTCTGCTCAAGTAAAATTTTTCATTTGACAAAATAAAAAGACAAAAAGTTGAGTTGTGTGGCAGGTTTATATTCATTCATAACCATTTAAAATTGGGTTCTTTTCTTTGATTACGACTGATCAATTCATAATAAGTACAAACCTGTTTTTTGCGAAGTTTGGAGATCTGCTGCTCCACCATACTGATCTCCCTGTCAACACGTTCCATATTCTGAACCAGCTCCTCTTTGGAGAAGCCAGCTGGAACCAAATCCAAATCGGTGTCCATCTGGACCGGACTCACAGGAGAGATGGGCTCCAGCTTCCCAATGGCACTTCCACGCTCCTGCAGAAACACAACAGAGACAAAAGAGACTTAGCAAAATCAAATATTTTAACTTAATAATTCATTTTAAAGTAGAAGGACAGACGTTGAAAAATGAAGAGGAATCTGAAGCATAAACCGTCCAAAAAAGTAAATAAGTCTGTTTGTTAAAATGACTATACATGGCAGCACAGTCTTTTGATATCTGGGAAGAATACACTTACTGCTTTCTATTTCTCCTGGCTTGATGACAGCATCCTCGTCTACATGTGATTATAATGTGTAAGTTATTCCAGAAATAAACAAAATTCTCAAACAGCTTTTTCATCTCGTATCAGAAGGTAGCATGTAGTGATGAATTCCTCTGGATAATGACAACTATTGCAATGCCTTTGTGTCACTAGACCACAATAATGGCTACAAGGTCACAGCATGCTTTGAGAGCTTGCACACAATATCACTGGAATCTGCTCTACTTAACAGATTTACATAAAAAAATATATATGATACAAAAACCCAAGAGAATTTACTACATGTGAAGAAATAATTTCAGGACATCAACATGTCACCACATCATCGAGTAAATTGTGTTTGTTGAAACTCTTCTATTGTGCAATCCATCCATCCATTATCTTTACCCGCTTCTTCCTTTCCAGGTCACAGGGGTCACTGGTGCCCATATCCAGCAGTAAATGTGCGAGGCAGGGGACACCCTGGACAGGTCTCCAGTCCATCACAGGGACACATAGAGACAAACGAGACCAACAGCCATTCACTCTCTCACTCACACCTAGAGACAATTTAGAGTTACCAATCAGCCTAACATGCATGTTTTTGGTCTGTGGGGGGGAAACTGGAGTACCCAGAGAAAACCCACGCATGCACGGAGAGAACATGCAACCTCCACCCAGAAAGGTCTCTGGTCGGGATTCGATCTAGCAACCTTCTCGATGAGGCAGCAGCTCTACCAACTGAGCCACCGTGCTGCTTGTGAAAAGATAATGTGGAAATATTTGTGTTTACCTTTTTATACTTGAAGTTTATTGCTGACACATTTGGTGTTTCCATCTAATCTCTTATGTCATCTGATCTCCGTTGACACCAAAATAATGTCTACTAGTGTCAGAGTGGTTTACAAATGGCACCAGCATCCATTAGAGATTACACTGAGTGCTGTTAACTCCAGATGTAAAAGCAGGTCTGAACGTCAGAGTAATAAAGAAATTACTTCTTCAAAATCTCAAGCAAATGTAACAATGTATGTGATAGACACTTGAATTCTTTTGTTTCTGATTATGGATATGTCATTATTCCTACATTATGTTTTGAACATACAGAACCATTCTAGAGCCAAACCTCCATATATAACTGTGTGAGTGTGTGTTCTAGCTTGGGCTTTGTTCTGCGTTATTTTTAAATGTCTGAAATGAAGGTTATGTAAGTGGGCTAATCTGGACTAGGCAGGCAGCATTACAGCCTTGTAGATGTGCTGTGATTGAAAATGTCAGTGCTGGAGGATATCAAGGGGCTGTCCTAGATGAAGCAGCCTAAGGCTGCCAAAACCAGTGACTCACAAAAAATATCAACATAAAATATATATATAGGAAAGATGCTTCTAGGATGTTTTGACATGGTCTATTTTGACTTCCCTAAGTGCATCCCTTCTTGCCTTAGTTTGGCAAATGTGCAATGTCTGGGGGGGATAATTTATTAATGTTTTGTTATTCATATATGAACTAAAATCATATAGTTTGGCTGCAGAATTCCTCAGTTTTTACCAGAAGAAAAAAATTATAGTTAAAATGATCCACAATACAGAAACATGTCTTCTTGATACCACAATCTTGCTAGTCTTGTTTTCTACACGGTCTTCTGATCTTCGTTCCTTGACTATTATGACGCTTGAGACACTGTGTACATGGGTCATAAGATCAGTCAGATGTACCCAACAGCTGACTTGTTCCCACAAACGTTTAAAACACTTTGAACACTTCTAAAAAAGTTAAATCTGGTCCTCTGGACATTCAAAAAAAACGAAACAAAGCAAATCAACAAAAAAATGTAGAAACGTTTCGTCTCTCATCCGAGAGACTTCCTCAGTCTGAGGAGCTGTATTCAGCTCAGTCTCTTAAATAGCACCGTCTCAGAGTGGATCAACCAGTTGATCACATCCGTGATCAGCTGGTTTTGGTTGTCAGAAGCAAAACTGGTTGATCCACTCTGAGAAGGTGCTATTTAAGAGACTGAGCTGAATACAGCTCCTCAGACTGAGGAAGTCTCTCGGATGAGAGACGAAACGTTTCTACATTTTTTTGTTGATTTGCTTTGTTTTGGGTTTTTTTGAATGTCCAGAGGACCAGATTTAACTTTTTTAGATTTTTCTACCTGGATTATTGAGCATGCATCAGGATACTTTGAACACTTGTTGTCTGCACCTAATTTTGTTTAAAGTTTTGGCTTCACAGCTGCATTATTTCTAGAGAGCAATCTCTAAAAAAAAAATTTAAAAAAAGTTATTTTGTTTCTTCATGCTAATTTAATTTTAAATTTGGACATCAAACTAATTATTAGGAAGAATGCACCAAACCAATTAATTATACACAGAAACAGAGTTGGCTGAAGCATCATCAACAAAGATAAATCTAACTATTTGAAAGAAACTAATTTCAAAACAAAACTTCAATGCTGACAAAAGGTAATATTAAAAAAGCTCTAATCAAACCAGAGATTTTAGATGGGACTCTTCAAACGAAATCAACTAAAGATAGACTAAGGTTTGTCCTATTTTATCAAAATTAACATTGTTACAGCCTTGGAATTCATCATGATGCAAAAGACTATGTGGTACATTAAATAAAACTAGGGATGCACAATATTGGATTTTTGGCTGATTTCCGATAAGCAAATATGTTAAAACTTAATTGGCCGAAAACCAATAAGAATGCCGATATTTTTTCCTAGACCTACTTACAGAGACTACATAGCTTTCTCTGCTGTGGAATTAAAATACTACATTATTCTGCATGGTCTTTGTCAGTTTGGCCTGATACCAAATACAGATGCCAAAAACGGGGCTGAAAATGATGAAACACTTTAAATTGAATTATGTTTAATGTCAAATTTATTCATGACATTTACTCTCTCTAACACAATGACAACACTCGAACAGTCATACAAAAACAGCACCTTTTGTACATATGTATATATATATATATATATATATATATATATATATATATATAGGAATAGGAATGTGCAATATGGCATAAAATTCATATCACGATATGTATTGTGAAGGGTGGCGATAACGATATGTATCACAATATGTTTTTGGTATAAAACTTGCTAAAAAAAAAAAAGCATAGGATGTCCTTTTGCCATCATATATTTTGAACAAAGAAAATTCCACTACTAGGTCCAGAGAGTTTTTAAATAATAAACAAATCAAGTATTAGGCTTCTTTCTTGTAGTGCAAAACAGTGCAAAATATATCAAATGTAGTTTTAGCCATATGTTTTAAACAAAAGAATATGTTGTTAACTCTTAACAGTTTCCAGTCTTCTCACTTCAGAAATGAACAGCAACAGAGCAGCATTTTACACTGAAACACTTCACCTCCAACCCTCTAGTTGGCGTCTCCTTCTGCTTTAACGGAGAGCTGACACAAAATGAGTCTGTGGCTTTGACCAAAGGGTTTCGCAGTAAACAACACACAACACAGCGTTCTTTTCACAGATCAGAGAGCATGTTTCTTTAAAGCTGACCAACGCTTACTTTAACTTTCGATGGAAAAAAAAAACAACTTTTGACGGAAGACAGCGTTTTGTGCATGCGTCCGAATACGGCAACTCTACGGCAATCCGGCTGTAGTTAGCTTGTAGCTTCGCTACTTAGCTCTTGAAGAAAAGACTTTAAGGCCACTTGCGCACAGTTTTCAACTAAAAAAAGTAACGATTAAACTGACAACTCTGATTTTACATCAGACAGCATTACTGCGGTTAGCCGGTAGAAGACAGATCTCTATCGTAGGCTAAATTTCTATTGTTTCTACCGTGTACCGTTTATATCGCGCATTCCTAATATATATATATATATATATATATATATATATATATATATATATATAAAGAGCACCTTTTATATTGGTGAGTTATTTTGATGGAATGGCCGTTGTCCGATATTTAACTTTATCGCCAATACCGGCCGATACTGGCCAATACCGATACTATGCCGATAATATCGTGCATCCCTGTATAAAACAACTTTGGTTTAATGAGCACAATAATCATGTAGGATTAGCTAAACTCAAATTGTATTTTGTCCATTTTGCATGAAACACTATGTTAATCCTAGAATCTTTCCATAATACAAACAATACTTTACTCTGAGTAAACGTCTCCTTTAGACACTGCTGCTATTCTAAACTTTCTGTGTAGAAATAATTTCAATAGTTTGTGAAAATAATAGTTTACTTTTGTAAAGAAGAACAAGTACATTTAATTATTTTAAATAGGTTGTAACATTTACATTTCCAAACATTACCTCCTAGAATCTGTCTTTAATAAAACTGTTGCAACAGACTGTATTGATTTCAGCAAGTTCCCTAGCAAGTATGTGGTGGATTAAAAAAAAAATAAAAAAACAAGTGGGAAAAAAAAAAACTTACCTAACCTAAAAGTGAGAAAAAAATCAATAAATTTAATTGAGGTAAAATCAACACCTGAGGTCTTGTAACTGGCCAGATGCATGAAGCAAAAAGCTAACTGTTTGGGAATACTGTGTTAGCAGTTAGAAACTGTGAAAATGTTGTGCAGTAGTGTAAAGGAGTAATGAAAAATATTCCATTACAGGCTATACTGCATAAAAACAAATATGATAATGCTTTGAATACTTTCACTGAAAACTTTGCTAAAAAGATTATGCCTTGTGTTAATGCCGTAGTGAACAGCAGCACTAAGAAGTACCAGTAGATAGTTTTGTTTTGCGTGAACAATGTTCTTCTTGGGTCAAAGTGTGTTCCTCCTGGTGGCTTTACTGCTGTGTAGCAATATTATTTTTCATTGCAATGCCTACTGTTTAAAAGAGGAACTGGAATAAGTGTAGCTCAACTATGTTGACATCACATTTTCTTTTACCTTAAAAAACACACAATTACTTTCTACCATTAAATTGTTCATTTATAATTTAATGAATACTTTACAAGTGTCGAATGACAAATTTCATGTGAATCACGTCAGTCTAATCAAAATAAGAACAAGTCACTTTACATTTATTAACATCAGAACCTTTGATGATAGCACAGCACCTATCACGAGGAGGCTATAGATTGTAAGGTAACTCGCAAGTTGTTCACTGAATATAATAAAATGCAATGGTAAGAAATGTGTGTAATATTTCTAAGAACTGAAGGTAAAACAAATCTATTGCAAAAGATCTTTAAAATGACCTAAATTACATGAGCTAATAAAACACCATGACAAGTAACTCTAAACAGACAATGACACTGTATGATGAGATATGTATTTTTAGGAAATCATGCAAAGCACCAAAACATGGTTATCACCCAACCAGCCTGGTGCTCACTCTGAACTACATAAGAGAACGGACTTTAACTGAAACGTGAGATACCTTGTTAAACAGATTATTTCTCAACTGAGGTAAACAAACAACAAAAAATAATACAATTTAAAATAACCAGTTAACTTCAGCTGGAATTATACAAAATTCCATTTTGTTAAGATTTTAGATTTACATAAATTACATTGCTGCAAGGTAATAGGAGTAATAGAAGGAATTAAATTAACTTCCTGCAGCAAACTGATTGCTAACTGGCATGGTAATGTTGCTTTACTTGGAAATGTTTTGATTTCTTGTTTGACAAAACCTCTTTGACCAAATTTTTTTATAAATAAGAGTTACGCTTAACAGTACAATGGGATAAATATTTAATAATCTGGGGAAGGGAGTGGTGGCGCACAAGTTAGAGAAGGTGGGCCTGTGATCGGAAGATTGCCGGTTCAACCCCCGGTACAGACAACATCAAAATATGGGTGGGAAAGGTGGAACACCCAGGCCTACTTCCACCCTCATTTGCCCCACTCTGGGCCCTTGAGCAAGGCTCTTAACCCCCACCATCTGCTCCCCCGGGCACCCTAGATAGCAGCTCTCTGCTCCACACAGTGGTCTGTGGTTGCATCAGGAAGGGCATCTGGCGTAAAAATAATTGCCAAGTCTTTGTGTGACTAAGTTCGCTGTGGCGACCCCTGAAGAAGGGAGCAGCCAAAAGACAGAAGAAAAATAAATAAATAATAATCGGGGGGGTTTTTTTTTTTTTTGGGGGGGGGGGGGGGGGGTTCAGCAATTTATTAAGGGGAACTTTCTCAAGTTTAACCTTTTAGCAGATGAAGTTTAAATTTAAAGTTTAAACTTTTGGTTCAACAGGCCTGAGCAGAATCTGGGTTTTGAAAATAGACTGATCAGATCTTGTTTGAGTAAAAAAAAAAAAAAAGGTGAAATTTTTGTACATCATTTAAAAAAGGTACCAAGTATTTAATTGGGTTCAAAATGTATTCTGTACAGGTTTACCCCAGCCTACACATTCAGTTGACTGTACTGTCACAGATCTGCTGCTTTCGGCCGTCTGTTTCCCAGCTCCTATGAGTCATGCTACAGGCATCACTTTTGTCTGATACTACAGACTCACTCCCTTTTTTCCTGTAAGCCATTGGTTTCCATGTCCTCCCCTTCCTTTTTCCATATTAACAGTGCCTCTCTACACTTGCCCTTTGACACACTTTATGTTGCATCTTACCTTCAGTAAAGAACACAGTCTCATATGGAGCTCTTGGTCCATGAAGCGAATGGATTTGACTTTACTCATGTCATAATTTTCTAGCTTTGCTGTTTTAAGGGCGGTGGCAGTGGCATTCCTCAATATTTTGCTAGCTTATGACATTTTTTTCTATTTACCTCTGTTGTTAAGAGTATCTATTAGCTATTCTTTGGCTGTTAGTGTCCACTGGCAGTTAGAGGAGCTCTGTTATGTTAGGAACACCACATAAACAGCAGATCTACGCTTCTTCTGAGTCATTTTGATCTGCAGTTTTACCCTTTTGAAATCTAGGTCAGCTCTATTATTAATTGATGTTTCACAACTCCCTTACTTCTCTCCCGCCTGCTCACAGAGATCCGGCTTAACTTTATAGTAGAATCCTCTTCTACAACCCCTGCTGTGGTGTGACTAATAAAATCCATTAGGATTCTTAAAGAAGCTAGAAGAATAAGCCAAAGAACAACACATTACAAAATTTAAGTAGTATATATTATTTCTGGGGGAAAGAACTAGTTTCCAAATTATTAATAACGTTTAAAAAATTATGAATAATATTTCTAAGAATGTTCTTGTAAATCCAACAGTTTCCAAAAATAATGTCTTACTCTCGTTAAGCAGCAACTTCAAATCAATGCAGAACAGATGGTTCTCTGTTTTCAAAATGTGACCAAATCCAGCTTGTACTACAAATTTACAGTGTTGTTTGACTGTTATTCACTGGAAGGTCAATAAATAATTCATCTGATTGCAGTCTTATTGTAAGAAACAAACACTTAACTGTACAAACTCTGACTGTAGATAAGATGCCCCATACTTAATACAATACTGACCTTTGTCATATCCTCTGCCACTCCCAAAGATAATGACTGCCGGTGGGATGAAGGCCTCACCAGAGACTCTGGTCCCATCTCTAAACGAGGGCGCTTGATCTCTGTATAGTCCATCTCTGATTGGCCAGGGAGCTCTGGCAGGTAGATATGCTCATAGCGGAGGTGCTGCTCTTGTCCTCTGAGAAGGTGAAAAAAAAAAAAACAATTGTAACAGAAGAGTATTAAATGCAAATGAAAAGCTTGTGTAGCGTTAATAAAGAGCATTTAACAATATGTCTTTTCCACCTTATTCCTGGGGGCCTCTACTGTATAAATAATTATGGTACAACTTCCTGTCAGACACAGGAAGTAGCAGTAAGCATTGGTTAACTATGGTAGTGAAGCACAGACCACGGTTTATTTGAAAGTAATTTGCATTGTTTATCAGATAAAATGCTATATTTGTTTTATTCACATTTATTTAACAACCATAAAGTTTACTAAAATAGCCTTGTGGAATTTAGAGCTGTCATTTCTAACCAGAACCCGAAACCCGGCCTGGACCGACCCGAATTAGGGCTGGGCTAGGTCGTTATAATGTGATTAATGGGCGGGGCGGGCCGGTCTCAGGCTTTTAATTAGGTCAGGATCAGCCACAATCCAATTATATGATAGCATGGCCTGCCATACTTCCACCAGCTGCACACGGCCATTTCACAGCAAGCTGATCGGCCTTGAAAGAGGTAAAAAGTTCAGTTAAGCTTCAGATGGGACTGTAATACCAGGAAGTGATCCATGGCCCAAATAGATGTTCACTCTGCCGCTCAACTCAGCAGGCGCGCGTGGCTGAAGACCCAAACAGGTGGGATCCCATAGCAGACGTGTGTGTCAGAGCTGTCCACGTGTATCAGTAATTCAGAAGAATGCAGTCAGAAACAGGGTTTAAATGCTTTTTTATGGCCATGAAAGGACAAACATCCTCTCAGCTCCAAATCTTCTGACACTTTTATTCAGCTGCGCGTCCCCGACCGTTAATAACTAATTTAAAATGTCGGCGGGGTTTCTGGGTTTGAACCTGTAATTACTGTTAATTCGTCGGGTCGGGTGGGGTTCAGAAATTATGACTGTGGGCTGGGGCCGGGTCGGATTAGAATTTTTGGACTTGAATGTAACTCTAGTGGAGTTCAGGTACCTGTTGTGTTCGCAGCTGCACGAACAACCAGACCAAACTAAATCAGAGGCTACAACAACAGTGTTTTGAACATGGACCCAAAACAAACAGCGTGATCCTGTGAAAAGGGGTACAGTTTTCATCACCTACCTACAGATGAGGAAATAAGAAGAATGTGGCTAAAAAATCTGAACCTGAAGAGCACTGTGCTCATTTCAACTTGTTGACAAATAGCCGAGGGAGGAAAACCTGCATCCTACTTTGTGGCTGGACTACAATAAATCACGGGAGAAGAGACGCCGGATCCTTGGATTGAAAACAGTGTGACGAGAATATCAGGTATAATTTCAAGTGTATGAAGGGCACAGCATTATAGTATTTGTTTGTCTTCTGTATTATGATTTTCTTTGCAATTAACCCAAGCTCAGTGACGGAGGACTTTGAGGCTTTGGCTGGGCTCTATGTCTGCTTGAAGGTAAATAAGAATGTGTCCCACCTCTTAACAAAACGTCACCGACCTTATTACTGTGTAGATGCCGATACACCTCAGAGCTTTTCAGGTTGTTCATTGCTTCACCATCAGAAACAACCGAGTCAATGAAGTAGTTAAATATGCTAGTAGATGTAATCTGCAGCCACTTCTTCAGCTCGTCCTCCATCTCTCGTCCACAACAGGCAGCGGTATGATTATACTGTCCTGTTTGAGCTCTGACAGCTGGTGTTCCTACATGTTTAAATTAAATCCACAATGCTTGGAGAAACTACATTAGCTTATACTGTTCGCACATAAACAACTGTTGGTTCTGGTCTGCGTCGTAAGTCAAACCCATAATTTGCACAAGGCAACATGGGGGCTAGGAATAAGGTGGATAAAGACAAATTGTTTTCGGTTTTGATGATCACTTTAAATTCGATGTCACTTTTTATTTCAGTACCATCAATATCTACATACATCAAGATTTAACAAGATTTAAGGAGGAAATTAACCAGTATGTGTATCTTAGTTTAAAGTGGACAATAGACCTTAACAGAATCTGAAAAAAGCAGTAAACAGAATTTTACCTTGTAAGCCTTTTCAACTACAACACTAAAAGTCTCAATACACTCAGCCGACAAAAAGCAGCCTGGAGATATGAGGAGACACCAGTGCACTGCTGACGGCCATATTTGTTGGGAGTATATTCTGCCCTATTAGCAGACACTAAAATGATAGACTATATAAACTATATTATTCAATGCACACAGATAAACTGGTTCATAGTAACACACCAAACTACATTGAAACTGATATACATAGATTTAGAACAAAAAACAAAACAAAACAATTAGCAAAATTAAACTGACTCCATGCAATAAGTAGCTTTTTATCTTATACTTATTGTATCTGCTTTTTGTTCAAGTTACTTTTGTTGTCACTGACACAAAAGACTGGGAGATATAACTGAGGGGCCGTTTATACAGCGTGTATTTTGAGTGAATCCGCAGCTTTCTTTCTCTCTGCGGTTCTGCTGTTCATTTACACGACACCAGTGGCCCCCCTCTTTGAATCCGGAGGTTTCTGAACCCACCTTCCAGAGTGGAGGTTTTTCACTGACACCCTGCTGATAATGTAAACATCTCCCGCTGAGGCTTTATGTTAAACCAAATGTGCACACGCACGCGCGGACAGATGCTATATTTCTATCAACATGGCGGTGGACACAGTGCTTTCTGAACTACAACTGATGGAATATATTTTTAATCTCGTAGTTAATCTACATCAGATTCCAGGTGCTGTGACCGACATCTGTGTTGGAAGAGACACAATCTGATCCAGTTCTAATATCACTGTTTATAGAACGAGGCACATGTCGCGCTGCACTATAACATCTAAATGTGCTAAATAATAAGTTTAATAATAATAAACAATATTTATCTTAAGTTTGAAATATATAATGAAGCTCTCTGAGCTAAATTAATCTATCAGGGCATTACGTAATTCAAATTATGTGATTACAATGATGCTAAATATATTGAGTGTTATTAAAGTCGAAAATGAAGACATCAGGTTTAATTTTAATTTTATTTATTTATTCAACACCACAAAATGTATGTCACACAAACACTGATAATTAAACTGAACACACAAAAAAAAACACGTTAACTGTAAACTGCATTAATGAACTGGACTCTTGTTTTCATCCTGGATGTCCCATGTTGTCAATCTGGCTCGATCAGGAAGTCACTCCTTTGATTAATGCAACTTAAAACATTGAATGGATTGAATAAAATAAATTAGGAGAATTTTAAATAAATAGTTCATCCAACACCTCTGTCTTCGACGTCCTCCTGCACTGCACCTGGGCCGAGCCTCATTCAGAACTGGTCCGCCTGGTGGGCGGACAGCTTCTTCTTTCAGGAAAAAAATAAAAACTCGGTTGTTTTGTAACCGAAGTAAACACAAGCTAACATTATTAAGAACGTTGATTTACCTGCTGTAAATCAGCTACTGATTATCACGGAGTAAAGTCCAACATCGTCGACTCTGTTCTGGTCAACTCAGCGACCGATGTGGAGCTGTTAGACGAAGCAGTCCCGATTGGCGTCAAATATGTCAACTCTTATCCACAATCCAGCCAAAATCCAGCTTTAACTTGTTGTTACGTTGTTGTTAGCTGATCTTTTAGCTCACAGCAAAGGAGCGTGCCGAGACCGCACACATCCGCATTAGGTAAAGGTACAACATTCACAGCGCCAACTAATGACCTGGCATGGTAACTACAGCGGATTCGGGAGGGCGGGGGGGATTCCTCCGGATGCATGTAAACACAAAATCCAACCGTGTCAACGCAAATCCATCCATCCATTTTCTTCCGCTAATCCGGGGTCGGGTCGCGGGGGTAGCAGTCCAAGTAGGGAGGCCCAGACTTCCCTCTCTCCAGCCACTTAGTCCAGCTCCTCCGGGGGAATCCCGAGGCGTTCCCAGGCCAGCCGTGAAACATAGTCCCTCCAGCGTGTCCTGTGTCTTCCTCTGGGTCTCCTCTTGGTGGTACGTGTCCGAACACCTCACCAGGGAGGCGTCCAGGAGGCATCCTAAACAGATGCCCGAGCAACCTCAACTGGCTCCGCTCGACGTGGAGAAGCAGTGGCTCCACTCTGAGTCCCTCCCGGATGATCAAGCTTCTCACCCTATCTCTAAGGGAGAGCCCAGACACCCGGCGGAGAAAACTCATTTCGGCCGCTTGTATCAGAGATCTCGTTCTTTCGGTTCCAACCCAAAGCTCATGACCATAGATGAGGGTAGGAACATAGATTGATCGGTAAATTGAGAGCTTCACCTTTTGACTCAGTTCTCTCTTCACCACGACAGACCTGTACAGCGCCCGCTTCACTGCAGACGCTGCACCTATCCGCCTATCGATCTCACGTTCCATTTTTCCTTCATTCGTGAACAAGACCCCAATATACTTGAACTCCTCCACTTGGGACAGGACCTCCTCCCCGAGCCGGAGAGGGCACTCTACCCTTTTCCAGCTCAAGACCATGGCTTCGGATTTGGAGGAACTGATCCTCATCCCGGCCGTGTCGCACTTGGCTGCGAACCGTTCCAGCGAAAGTTGTACATCACGATCTAATGAAGCCAACAGGACCACATCATCTGCAAAAAGCAGAGAAGCAATCCTAAGGCCACCAAAACGGATGCCCTCAACACCTTGGCTGCGCCTAGAAATTCTGTCCATAAAAGTTATGAACAGAATCTGTGACAAAGGGCAACCTTGGCGGAGTCCAACTCTCACCGGGAATAAGCCCGACTTACTGCTGGCAATGCGAACCAGGCTCTGACACCGGTCATACAGGGACCTAACAGCCCGTATCAAAGGGCCCGGTATCCCATAGTCCCAGAGTACCTCCCACAGGGTTCCCCGAGGGACGCGGTTGAACGCCTACTCCAAGTCCACAAAGCACATGTAGACCAGTTGGGCAAACTCCAACGCACCCTCCAGGACCCTACTGAGAGTGTAGAGCTGGTCCAGTGTTTCACGACCAGG